AACTTTGATAACATTTTAATATGACAATAATAATGTCATATTCAAAAATGCCTTACTTTTAGTACTTTTGTTTGTTTTACTACTGTTGTTTTATCTTATGATGTTGTCTATTTTTGCTTTAGTTATTCTGAATTTTTGATACTGGGAACATATGTGCTTTAAATTTTTATATACTACTGGTCAAATGAGCTGTTTTATCATGGAAAAATTTTCTTTATTTCTAATTGTTTACTACTGTTGTTTTATCTTATGATGTTGTCTATTTTTGCTTTAGTTATTCTGAATTTTTGATACTGGGAGCATATGTGCTTTAAATTTTTATATACTACTGGTCAAATGAGCTGTTTTATCATGGAAAAATTTTCTTTATTTCTAATTGTTTTCTGTAAAAAATTTTATAAAAGTTATCGACTTCATCATTTCTTGTCTGAAAAATAAATAAGCTCTGCTCCCAATGCATTTCCATCTCTCAATTAACTTGCTATTGAAAGAAGGAGGCAGTCCAGACTGCTTACAGTGTGATTCTAGACTCACTGAGATAAGTCATGATACACTGTAATAGCCACTCATGGAGACAGAAATGACAGGGAAAGTTCCTGAAAAACTGGCTTCTCAGCTTGATCAGGCCTTACTTAGTGACTTGCACCGCTCAGTTAGTGAGCAGGTTAAAAAAAGACTGCAGAAATAACTTATCATTTTTGGACAGTTTTTTTTGAAGAATTATTATAGTAAAGGAAACAGGCATATTTTTCTAATTTGCAAGAGCACTCATCTAATTCAAGGTCAAAGAGGTTTTTAGAAATAAATCACAATGCAGCCAAGGTTTGCGGGATGTGTAGGAATTACGCAAGATATAGGTGAGGGACATATAGGAGGACACGATTATAAGTGGGAGGGGGGCTTGAAAGGGGATTGAAAACAATGGGTGGGTTGGCTTAGGAACAAGGTGTGGGAGTCAACTTGAGAGAGTGGGTGTAAGTGTGAATTACATATACACTTGAATCCATCAGTGAGGTTGACTTAAAAGAAATGATTTAAGGTCCTTTCCCCTTTTTCTTACCTTTGAAGTTCATGGAATTCATTTGTACCATATTCCTCAACTCATTATATCAGTTATCTTTTGTATACCAGAACTTATTTTCTTCCATCTCCCCAGGTGATTTTAGCATCTGGAACATATTCTGTTTTCCCTCCATGGCCATACAAAGCAATATTGACTTCCCTTTCCTTCTTTTCTATGGCTCTCTGTCGTGTTCTAGGATGGTACTTATTAAGTCTAAGTCCAGCGTCACCACTGTGTCATTATTAGCTGTGTAATTTCCAACAAGTTAGCCAAACTTTCTTTGTCTTGGTTTCCTCTTGAGAGTTACAACAGTATCCATCATCGATAGGGTTCTGAGAATTAAATGAAGTCATGTACACAAAAACACCTGGCCCGGTCTTTCCAGCACATAAATAGGATTTCCTTATCCATTCTAAACCTTTAATTCTACCCAGGTTGAAAATGCCTTTTGCTACAGTTTAGAATAGCTAGAGAAGGCTTTAAAAAAGGAAAATGTGGGAGTAACAGCTCTATTCCACCGGCGTCCTCCGAGGTAGCCGTTCTGTTTTTGAGAAAGAGCTCAGACTGCAGCAAAACCTTTCTTTGACAGCTAGATTTGGGAATAAAATTAGTTGTCCAGCCTTTAAGGCTGTTCGTTAACCAGACTAAAAATTCAAGAGGCACTGCGTTATAATGTTATAATTGTCTATACTTTCTTTCCTTAGGTCATTTGCCTTCCTCTATTTAATTTTTCAACCTCTATCTTTCCCTTCCCCCATATCTCAAAAAAATTTAAAAAAAAATCCAAACTTTGGTCATTTTAGATACCAAAAGATCACGGCAGGCTGACTAATTTTGCCCAGATTTTCTGCAAAAGCCCACATGTGCTGCCGTTTTGGGTTGCATAATTGATTTGATCTCTGATTTTAGAGGAACGCTGAACTCTTTTTGTGGGACTCTGAATACATTTCTCTAGGGCAAAAACTGTCCTACTTTTCCTTCTCTGGTATCTGTTTTGTGCTAGGCCTTCCACCCCAAAAATCTAAACTACCCTCCGTGAAATAAATGAAATCACAGTTGGAAAACGACTTAGTGGACAGACTTAGAACCACAAGATAAGAACACCACCACACACATTTCCTTAACATTCTCTTCTTCAACCCCGTTCCCCTTACCTCTGCTTATTTCCCTCCTTACACCCTAGTCTTTCTTTGTTTTAGATAAGAGAATACTTTGGTGAACCCACAAGGATTGACATAACACACAGGAAGTGGCAGCACCCCTTAGCACCTCACCTGAAAGGCGCAGCCTAGTAATTCTAGGACTTGATTGTCCATTGACCTGCGCTAGGACCAAGGAAGATTTCCTTACCTCACAGAGTCTTCAACAATCACTGGTAGATTAATAGTTGTAAAGATCAGACTATAAAGGCAGATACACAGCAAGTTCCAAACTCACATTAAAACTTGTTCCCTAAAAGAGCAATTAATCCAAATGACAGCCGTGTAGTTTTGAGTTTAACTTTTACCTCACGCTGCTTTTGATTATGCTCACAAGGATGTCTGAAATGTGAGGTTCTATTTGACAAATGTGTGTGTGTGTGTTTGTGTGTGTGTGGCTGTGAATGTGTATGTGAGAGAGAACCAGTTTGATCTAGTATATAGTTTGAATTATTCCCCCCCCCACTTTTTTTTGAAAATAATTCTTTGTGATATTTTCTTTGCCCTAAGAAAATTTTCTGAAAATTTGTTTTCACTAGGTCCATACGTATGATACTATTTCAAAATAGTCACCAAACAATTCTCATACTGTGAAAGGATCAAACCGTTGCTGGATCAGAGTGATGTGGGTAACCCTGATTTGATCCTGGTACTACATATGGTCCTTTAAACACAACCAGGAGTAATCTCTGAGCACAGAGTCAAGAGTAAGCCCTGAGCAATGCCAGGTGTTATGCCCGCCTTTAGAAAAAAGAAGAAGACTGTTTACATCAATGGTATGAGAGCAGGGCTTATTCTTAATTGTTGTTTGAGTATAAATCTGAATAAAATGTATCCTTATTCCAATAGAATAATTTAGAGTTAGAAAATAGGGTTTAGAAAATTAGATAGTATGGCAGGAAGGTATCTTGCCTTGCACCTGTCCAACTGGGGTTCAATCCCTGGCACTCTGTGTGATTCTCTGAGCACAGAACTAGAAGTAAGCCCTTAGCACTGCTAGATATGCACCCAAAACGAAATTGAAAAAAAGAAAAAACAGGAAGAAAAGAATATGCTACTTGTTTAATAAAGCATAGTATAATAGTATAAATCACGATCAATTGTGACCATCCTGTTATTCGTTGATTGCCTCGAGCAGGCCCCAGTAACGTCTCCTTCGTCCTAGCCCTGAGATTTTTTTTAAAAAAAGTGATATATTCAAGGCGCTTTCAGGGTTAGGAGAATGAGACCCATCATTGTTACGGGTATTTGGCATATTGGTTGCGCCATGGGGAGTTTGCCAGACTCTGCCGTGTGGGCAGGCTACATTCGGTAGCCTGCCAGTTTGTCAAAGTAGGAATGAGATGTCATAATAAGATATCGCGCGGCTGCAAATGCGGCTGCGCGGTTAGGGGAGCTGGTTTTATAGTCTCTGAGTATTGGCCATTGATGGGATTACATGGCACCAGGGGGCCAGTTGGTGGGTGTGACCCCCGCCTACTGGAATTTGGAGGATCTGGGTGGAGGATGCTCAGCCCCGATCCGAGTAGGCTTGGAGATCTCAGCCCCGGGACCCACATGCCTTTGTTCCTCTGCCGGTACCTTCAGGTGTGTGGAGAGTGGTCTCAGCATGGTGGTGGCTGGTTCTGGAGGTCTTCGACTGCCAGAGCCCTGGTCGAGGCGGGGAGGGAAACTCAACCCGCTCCCCTCCAAGGGGCCCCGTCCAGGACAGCCAGGCACGGGGGCAGGAGGCTCTGCACTGTTCTCTTCCGGGAGCTGGGTTTTATAGTATAAATAGTATAAATAGACATTCAAATCCAGACTCTTATTCAATATTTAGATAAATTTAGATAAGTTCTTTAACTACTAAATTGTGTTATATATGAATATTTGAAATTGAAATATAAGTCATACTTATTACTTAGGTTTATTGTAAGAATTAAATATTCTAATGACACCTGCTTAGCCCCACCCCATGCATTGCCAGGAGTAATTCAAATCCCTGAGCTCAGAGCCAGGAATAAGCTATGAGCACATTTGGGTGTGCTCTCAAACCCAAAATAAATAAATAAATATGCACTAAGATGCCCGTAAAGCTATTTGGAAAAACATTCACAAGTGTTGTATGATCGACAGTTTTCTCTACCAATATAATATATAACAAGGTAAAGGTAAAGGTAAAGGCCCTCCCGTTGATCGTCGATTTGCTCGAGCGGGCCCAGTAACGTCTCCATTGGAGACTTTGTTGTTACTGTGTTTGGCATATCGAATACTCTCGGTAGCTTGCCGGTCTCTGAATATATCCCCAAATTTTAGCAGAATATTTATGCTGGTTCTAGTTTACATGTTCTAGGTATGCATTTTCATTCAGGCTCTAGAAGGCTTTTCAGGAACGTGTGTTATCTGCATGACCAAGAACCCTGCAAGTAGCATGAGCAAAACTGCCAAGCATTTAAAGCATCAATTCATAATTGGCATTAGAACCATTAATGTCCATATTTCACTGAATCAAACAAGGTACCTATTAACCTAGTAAATATTAACAAGCCAGCAAAGTGTCGTCTGCCCTGATGGGGAAAATGAAGTGAGTATTTTCTGAATAGGAATAGAGTAATCTCTCTCTCAGAAATTTACTGCTGATCAGTCCCCTATGTGATATCTATGTGACAAGTGACTTCTCCATATGGTCTACTTCATAGAATTGGCTTTGTCTTCTGATTTCAGGTTAATTTAATTCATACATTTTTCTTTGTAAACAGGTACTTCGGAAAATCCTTTAGAAAAAGGGCAAAAGCTTCTGATCGTCCTCAGAGCCTCAGAGGGAATTGTTTGTGATCGTTTCGGTGGAATTCGTATCAAAGCAGGAACAATTGGTAAGAATATAGCACTGTAGCACTGTCCTCCCTTGTTCATCGGTTTGCTTGAGCGGGCACCAGTAACGTCTCCACTGTGAGACTTGTTGTTACTCTTTTTGGCTTACTGAATACCCCACGGGGAGCTTACCAGTCTCTGCCATGTGGGTGGGATACTCTCTGTAGCTAGCCGGGCTCTCCGAGAGGGACGAAGGAATAGAACCCGGGTTGGCCACGTGCAAGGCAAACACCCTACCCGTTTTTATTAGTAATGAAATCTGTTTAATAGAAAGATAATTCTCGTAGAATATAGAATAAATTCTAGGTACTCTTCTAAATAATTTATATTTTCCATTTTACTTATCCTGTCTTCTGTAATCATTATACACTTTACAGATATAAAAACTAAGACTCAGATGATGAACTTCATGCAGATTTTCACACAACTTTATAGAATCAGAATTTAGGTATATATTCAAACTAATAAGAAAACCTCTGGACTAGGAGTGTTCGTTAGAAACGATAAATGCTATGTGGTTACTGATATGTCTTTAGTTATTTTTGGCCATGCCCTATGTTGCTAAAGGGAGCTATGACCATTTCATGACTCAGTGGTTGTTCTCAGCAGTGCTAGAGAGAGATTAAGAGAATAAGGGGATAAAACTTGGGCTTCCAGAAGACAAAGTATGTGCTTCGGTCATTTGATTTATCTCGTCAGTCCTACTAACACACACATGTGTATATATGTCTATCTGTATATGTATGTACATATATATGTACATATGTTGTCTATATCTATCAATTTTACAATCTATTAAACTGCTACAGAGAATTTACTGTTGATAGTTTCCTCATTTGCTACGGACGCAATAACATACCTAATTTTAAAATTGTTTGGAATAAGAACACAGAAATTGGAACTAGCTTGTCATATCCGTGACGTAAAGAGGTTGCACTACCTCACCCTTTAAGGATAAATATAAAAGACTATTTTTCAGCTTTCTTGTTATTTTCTTACTTTTTTCCTGGATGGATTTACTTATGGTGTAAGATCTCATCAACTCCATAAAAACATCAAATGAGGACAGTATGAGATATGATAATCTAGTTAAAAATGTGTAACCATTGTTATACAACATGTCAATAGTGCTATACCACTTCCAAAGGAGTTTTCATCTGTGGTTTTTATTTTTTGTTTCTAAGAATATGAGATTCACTGTAGTCATTTTTTTCAAGTTGACAAATAACACAGATTCTAATGGAAACATTTACAGGCTCTTCTGTCTGTGCTATCCACTATGTTTTCCAGTGTCACATTGGATTAAATAATTTGTTAGGAGTATCCAAAGATTCCTCTGCTTGTCTCTGACCCTAGCAAGATGATCAATCCAAAGCTTTTGAACTCTTCTTTGATGTTAAGTTGTATCGGGGTGAAATATTTATTTTAATGAATGAGTACAATTTAGGAGGTCATAATAAATGTTAGACTTTAGTTGGTAGAAGACTTAATCTCCTTCAAGTAACTAAGACAAGGTATCCTTTTATAGTTAAACTTTGGTGATTAGAAATAGTTGAGTCATCAGCTTTTTTGTTCAGTTGAATTTTCTGGATAACTCTAACTTAAGAAATAAAGTTTTTGGTTAAAATATTTGTTGGTAATTTCTTCAAATTGCTTCTACCTATCTTACTTAGTCAATAGTAAAAAGTAAACAATAATTTTTTATGATTATATCTTGTTACTCTTATCTCTATTATTACAAAAGATTGATTTTAGGTTATGGCCTGAGGGAAAAGTAATCCTTACATTTTCATGAATCCTGATTTTAGCTTTTATTATCTTCCGACATATTTTAGTTAGATGTAAAAAAGTACATAGATGTTCAAATAAGAAATATGTAGATTTTAAATAATTAAGTTTCTTTGTTTCTTTTTTTTTCAATTGGAGTAAAACTCAAGGTATTTTATTAAAACCTTAATGGCATTTTTTAATTACTCTTTTTTTAAAAATTTGAAGCTTTAATATTTCAAAATTAGTTATTTGTAATAAAATTATGTATCAACCCAAAGGTATGAAGAGAACTCATTTGAATTCTGGAAAAATGTCAGATCTATTTAAACCTTATTAGTATATTCACATATACTCACACACTATATATGTATATGTATGTATATATGATGCATGTATCTCAAATAGACATTAAGAATCCTACGAGTCCATAATTCTGACTCTTTCATTAAGTGTATTCATGACAAAAACAATCTTATACCTCTATAGCATACGGAATTGTCTTTTATGTGATTTCATAAAACCTGAAAAAAAAGAAACCTGAAAAATAAAACTGAACTTTGTCAAGCATGTCCCTGGTTAGACTTTAATTTATGAGTCTGAAATAAATTATATTTTGAAACAAAGGAGCTAGAGATCTGGCCTTTGATATCAGTAATACAACAAAATAGGACATTCAACCACTGAAAACAAACCTAATAGCACTGAACCTCTTTCTTTAGGAAATAAAATTATCCTTTGTCATTTGGAAAATCTAGAGTATAGCATAAAATATTAAACAAATTAACTTCCAATGTAAGTGAAATGGTTTAGAATCTTTTGAAGATGAACATTAGGAATGTAATTCAATGGTAAAACATTAAATCTGATTTGCATGTGTGAGGCCCTGGATTCAGTTCTTGGCACCACCAAACAAAAACAAAACAAGATGAAACAGAATCACCTAAACACGGAACTTTAGTTAGTCATCGGAGAGGTTCATTTGCCAGCTTTTAGATTACTAGATGTGATGTAACATTTATTTCTCTATTGCTTTTTTTGAAAACAGGTTTCATGGTCATGAGATATTTATTTGACCTGCTAAGAATACAGCACTAATATATTATTTTTTTTGTTAAATTGGGGATCTTGATATTTTCTTCATTACGTATCATGTATACCAACCTATCTAATGAATTTTATGTGTGTGGCTTGAATTACTCTGAAGGATTTCCTACCCAGGTGTTCTATTTTATTGACAGGAGTTTATGGAAAACTTCAGCTTTGTGGTGCATATACTACAAAACCCTGGACTCACCTTAGCACTGATATCGCCTCAGGAAATGAGAGGTAGGAAATGACAGTAAGTGAAGTATAGAGATTTATGGTGTCTTTGATTCAGTTGGAGGCTTCATTATGATAGAGATGAAATTTTATTCATTTCCTTAAAAAATGATCAAACACTTTGATTTACAAAGTTGTTCATAAATACAGCTGCTTCAGGCAATCCATGTTCCAATACCATCCTATGACCAGTGTCACCTTACCTCTATCATTGTCCCCAGTTTTCACCCACTCTTCAAACTTGCCCCCTTAGTAGGTACAAATAAATTTACTTCATATTGCTTGTTACGGCACACAGGCAAGTGGAATTAGCAACAAATTGATCAAGAAAAGTTGACTTGTGATTGTTGCTATTACATCTCATCATGGTATTATGAAAGTCATTGTCCGAAGAATTACTGGGCTGGTTGGTGCTAGTTGAGCCCTGTGCTACTGTTTTGGCTCGATGAATTTGGTGGTTTTCTATACCACTTTTCCATCATATTTGCTGTGGTCCTACTGGGCTGACAATGTTCTTAAATTCACAGGTGTCACACAGCAGCATATGCGTATAAGGCCATGAGATCCATGTACTGGGATGACTTGGTGGCTTGTCAGCTTGATGAAGTTGTGGAACTGAGTTGTGGAGCTGAATCGTATCTATGTGGGAGAGTATGGGTGTGACTGGTGGGTTGCATTGCCTTCAGGAGTAAAGGGGGATCTCTCTTCCCCATTCTGAGAGAGTCCCAAGGTTTCAGCCTGGACCAGTCTACCTGGGGGAGATTTGGGGACATCATGGTCTTTTGGAGATTAGTTGTGGAACTGAGCCATTTCTTTGCCAGAAGATCTGAGATGAAATTTTAGATCAAGAATCTTAATTTAAGGATGAAAAAATAAAAAATGCAGGACAACAGAATATTTTTAAATATCTGCAATGTAATCAAAGGAGAATGAAAGCAAGCTGTAGGCTAGGAGGACTTAGCTTATTTAAGAAATATTTATTATTCAGATAGAAAAGGGAGCACAAAGTAAAGGGTGCTGGGATGATCCTTCCAGGATGGGAGATGCATGCTGAAAGTAGACTATAGACTGAACATGATTGTCACTCAATACCTCTTTTGCACTCAGAAGGAGAGAAAGAACAAAAGGGAATGGCCTGCCTCAGAGGCGGGGTGGGGTGGGGGTGGGTGGGGGGTGGGAGAGATACTGGGATCCGTGGTGGTGGAGAATGGGTACTGGTGGAGGGATGGGTACTCGATCATTGTATAACTGGAACCCAAGCACAAAAACTTGTAAGCTTACAACTGTACCTGATGGTGTTTCACTAATAAAAATTTTTTAAAAATAAAAATAAATATTTATTAGATAACTTATGTTTTCTGATGTCTAAAAGAGTTAACAATATAAGAAAATATTGAAGTATAAATACAACCCAAATAGGCTGAGTTGACTACTGTGACTGATAGCCGGTTACAAAATAGGGATAAAACAGGAAAAAAGGTAATTTAAAAGCAAAAAAAAAAGTGATCTAAGGGTGTTTGCCTTGCGCACAGCCAGCCCGGCCTAGCCAGGTTTGATTCCTCCACCCCTCTCGGAGAGCCTGGCAAGCTACCGAGAGTATTCAATATGCCAAACACAGTAACAAGAAGTCTCACAATGGAGATGTTACTGGGCCAGCTCGAGCAAATCGATGAACAACGGGAGGACAGCAAAATTTAATAAATTACATTATAGGAAAAAAAGAATCACTGAATTAAAGTGAATACAATTTAAAGAACAGTCTGATGCAATCTACCTGAATTCAGAAGGCAGAGTTAGGAAAAAAAAATGAAAGATATGCTGATAGGAATAGAGAACAGAAAGTTTGTAGATATGGATATTCTTTTGAATAAGAAGCCAGAATAATGGTAAAGTAATAAAGAAAATTATAAGTGAAATACATCTGGGAGTATTAACTGAAATAGAAAACTGGGAGTAGTCACATTTAGTTTTACATTTTTTTCTTTTTTTACCGAATCACCATGAGATATACAGTCACAAGGCTGATCATGATCGATTTCAATCATACAATGTCCCAAAACCTATAGCTCAACCAGTGTACATTTACCACTACCAATGTCCTTTTTCCTCCTGCCCACCCCTGACCCAGCCTGTCTCTACGACAGACATTCTCCTCCCAAATACCCCTCCCTCTCTGTCTCCTTTTGGGCATTGTAGTTTGCAATACAAATACTGAAAAATCATCATGTGTGTTCCTTTATCTACTTTCAGCATGCAGTTCTTATCCAGATTGGTCATTTCCAACTATGTTTGTCATAGTAGGACTTTCTCTATCCCAAGTACAGGAGTAGTCACATTTAATTGAATAGAACATTGAGAGTGTCATGTATTACTAAGCAAAATAAGCCAGTTATGGGGGCTGGAGCGATAGCACAGTGGGTAGGGCGCTTGCCTTGCATGCAGCCAACATGGCCGACCTGGGTTCGATTCCCAGCATCCCATAGGGTCCCCCGAGCACCGCCAGGAGTAATTCCTGAGTGCAGGAGCCAGGAGTAATCCCTGAGCATCGCCGGGTGTGACCCAAAAAAGCAAAAAAAATAAATAATTAATTAAAGAGAATTTTAAAAAATAAGTCAGTTATGTTCATTTTATAGCAAGAGATAAGATTTTATTTATTTTTATACCTAAGTGGTACGTTTTGTGTTTATATATAAACCACATTTTATCCATTGTTGGATAATTGGGTGTTTTCCATTTCTTGGATATTGTAAATATGGTGCGATAAATCTTGATGTGTCTATAAATTTTTGAACTGATTTTTGTGTCTTTGACTTTGTTGTTGGAATAAATGCCCAAGAGTGGGATTACTATCATGTGGGAGTTCTATTTTTAATTTTTCGAGATATATCCATACTCTTTTCCATAGAAGCAGATCCAATTTATATTCCAAAGAGTGAATGAGAGTTGGGTTTTTGTTGTTTTTCTTTTCTCCACGTCTCCTCCGGCAATGGTAATTACGGAACTTTTTGGTAATAATTGGTCATAATCATTTGTGTAATCACAAAATAAATAAATAAGCAACCACGCGGTGGCAGTCTCTCTTGCCTGCCATGTGCATTTGGTGACTGTGTGCCGCTCCTCCACCCTGGCCTGCAGCCAATGCCAAAAGACTCGTGAAGGAGGAAACAGGGCTGCCAGGCTGGTTAGTGATCTATCGCCATTTATTCCAGTCTCTCCATGCTCCTATTTCAGTCTCACTAAGCTCCCCATACCAGTCTCACACTACCCCTCATTCCATACTGTCTCTCAAACTAGTCTTTCCATGCTCTTTCTCATAGCCTTGGTCTTGTACCCAACCTCCAAACATTGGCGGTAGCAACTACACCCAGGTCAGGTAGCAGAAGCGACATACGAAAGCCCTTCCTTCTGAGGGAAGTCTTCTAAGATAAGATAAAGATCTCCTGCAGCTAGGAGATCCACTCAACAACTCAAGAGCTAAATACCATGTAGGGGTGCATTTCTCCTTTCCTTAGTCCAACAACCATTTAAAGATTTATCTTAATTCTACTTCTTAATAAAATTGTCATTTTGTATGGACACAGTAAAAGATACATTAAGCCTGTAGGATGGCTCTCCTAGGGACCTTTCACTAGATCCCAGTCTATAGTGCTCAGGCTTTCCTAACCCTAGCAGGGTCCTGGTCCAGTTGTTACTGTTTGGATCATGACATAATTTCTCCACAACCAAGCTCTTAACTTATAGTTAAGTATTATGGTGCTTGGCCTGGCTCGTTTCAATGCCAGGGTAACTCACAGTTTGCCCTGGGTCCATCCAGTCCCTCGTCGGGACCCTGCTTTTGGGTTTCTAAGAACTAAAGGCAACTGAGGTTTATATCAAGAAAACAGATGCCCAGCAGTGAATATTATTTGGAGTCAATCAAATCCCAAGTTACAAAAGCATAGCATTAGCTGTCTTGCTGTGTCTATACAAAAAGGACATTGCTCTGAAGTAAACTTTGCAAAAGGACATAAGTGAAGGAGGAAAGCAATATTTCACTTCAAATACAAAACCCAAAGGCCTTAGAAGAATCTGACCTTACAAGTCAACCGAGTCTTATTTGGTGACAAAGGTGATTGACTGGTTGGGGAAGCAGTGCACAGAGAAGGGATCAAAGATAAACACAGAGAAATGGGAGTGTCTCAAGAGCACTGTGATGGGTGTAACCCTGTGGTCAGGGAGAAAGGGCAAACCAATTTTATTCTACAATCATTGTCATTTTGATTTGAATATTCCTGTTGATCAGTGATGGTAAATATCTTTTGTGTTCCCGGTTTTTATTTTTATGTCTTTTTAATACAAGAATATCTTTAGCTATTTTCCTATCTTCGATGGTAGAATTTTTGCTTTTGTTGTTGAGTTTTGTGAATACTTTTAAATATCTGGGGTATCCATTCTTTGACAGATGTATAATGCACGGACATTTTCTCCCATTCAGTGGGGTGATTTAATTTTTTGTTATAGTTTCTTCCATTGGGTAGACAAAAAATTTATGTTTTTGTTTTATGTAATTTCATTTCAATATTTTGCTTTTATTTTTATTATGGTGGGTGTCAAGTCACTGAAGATACCTCTGAAACCAGTATCATGAAATGTCTTTTCTAGTACAGTTTATGGATTTAGGAATAACATTGGTCTTCAACCTATTTTCATTTTAATTTTGTTAGAGGTTTGAGACAGTGGTTCAATTCCATTCTTTTAAATGTTGTCTCTTTTATTTTTCAGCACCAATTTTTTTTTGGGTCACACCCGGCAATGCACAGGGGTTACTCCTGGCTCATGCACTCAGGAATTACCCCTAGCTGTGCCCGGGGGATCATATGGGATGCTGGAAATAGAACCCAGGTCGGTTGCATGCAAGGCAAACGCCCTACCCGCTGTGCTATCACTCCAGCCCCTCAGCACAAATTTTAAAGAAATTTTTATGTTTCAATGCTATGCTTTTGCTCTTTCATTGTAGATTGATTGTT